CCGTTTAGCGATTGTTCACTAACTGGTTTAATCGTCGCTGGTTGTTTGTATATAATAATCGAAAATGGTTTCCTACTTAAGTGAACGTTGAGAGGTGATCGCATACTGGTGAGAATGCCACATTCCTCTAACAGTGATCGGTCCTATACACGAGACAATTGCTCACTTCGCATTGAACGGTAATTCATTTTAATCAACACGAAGGACGAAACGCCGAGTTGACCCCTCACTTGGGGATTTCAACTCTTGACCTTCACACACACGCGAGCCGTCGTGCTTTAAGCACTGCGCGCCAGCTGGCTGGATTATTCGTGCATAGAGTGCGACTCATCGCGAGAGGGAAACAAGAGGCTGGCGTGTTTGTTTTGCGGGAGTGTTTCCTACCGCTGCGTATAACGGTAGAGGCACTGTACACGCGGCCACGCCAGGGCATCATCAGTTTCCCCACCGATGCCTGAAGCTTGTGGCGTAGCTTGGTTGTCAGCCCCGTGGTTCAGCGCTTGGGCCACACTGTCCCGTGGACGCCAGCGCAGTTGCACCGCCTGCACACGAGGGGCAATGTCAGAGCGTGGTGGCGATGCGCGCCTACGACCCAGCGCTCTGGAGGCAAGGCTTAGTGAATCACGGAGATTTGTGAACCCCCCAAACAGACCCGCTTGGGTTACGAGGTGGCCAGGTGATGACAGCGTAGAAACTGGGTTCGTGAACCTATCTGTGCGGACCTTTGAGGCGTGTCCCCTCGTATGTGTGGGGGTTTATTCAGCTCCTCATATTGAGGAACTGGCCAAATTATTGAAACGCAGGACTCTCATGATAAAATACCCGAGGGACTCAATGATGATTTTGGATAAATGGCCTCAATACTACAGTATTATTATACGTGATGTGGTGGGTGCTTGTGTCCTTTTTTGAATTTGATCCGATAAATAAAAAAACACTTGAGAAAAGTTTAGCTGAGCCCTCTTTAAATGTTTATTTGAAGTCAGATGGCTCTTTGTAGTCGAATGACCTCGTATAATCTTCGCTCGTTGGGTATAAAATCAAAGAAGATAGCGAGCAGCACGATGTTATTAAGATCATGGAGTCTCTCATGGCTTGTAGGGACGTGGGGCCGTTGCAATTATTACGCTGAATGCGCTGTCCAGGGTGCTGATTTATACATAGCCATAACAACAACATAATTAATTGGTGCGCGGGCAGGAATAACTTAAAATCAAACATGAACCCGTCAGGAGAGTTCACCTTTATTAATTTAACATGCATAAGTACAGACGAATATGAATACTATCACGATTTATTCACGTTACAAAGATCGTGTTTTTCATGAATACTTTTCAATAGCTATAACTATTGAGTATACTCGCATAGAACTATACCGTATGTGGGTATAGCTTGACAAATAGCAGGTATAGTAGGCTCGTATTACTTTTTTTAACAGTGTTAATACTTTAAAAATATGTTATTTTGTTAAATACATCACAGGAAATTTACACGGGACAAGAGCTTACGCAATACACTGGTCTTGATTTGAAGCTTTCGTGATTGCAGGAATCCATACTCGTTGGTTCTTTCAGTAAAGTCACGTAGTTAGAAATAAAATTTAAATTAATCAAATCACGGCGTCTCGATTGCAAGCGGTCGTCATCAGGTTGCGATCGAAACGTCGTGATTTGTTTTATTTTATTTTATTTCTAACTACGTGACTTTACCAAAAGAACCAAAGAGTATCAATACAGTGGTATTTTAACATAACATTTGTTCAGTAGTTTATACTAGTGGAAGAGCCAATTGTTGTTTTTTTATTAATGTGCTATGGCGAATACGACAACATCACTGCAGTGCTTCGTTTATATCAACTCACACACAACCTATAGCAACCGCCAGTTTATCTTTCACAGGCACCTGGAGGGTCACGTGCAGACCTCAACGCAAGACGAATAGCGCCTTCTGTGAGAACACAAAGCCAATCAAAGCCACTGCACGGCACGTGTCTGCATGCGCCTCTCTTTAAGTTTAATAAACAATTACTGCACACGCAGAATATACCTTCAACAGTTATGCGCTCAGAAGATTGGTTATTTGTGGATAATCCCGCAGAAGCCACGGCGGCAAGAAATGAAAGCATAAACCTTCCCACGACATCCTTCAAGGACCCGCTGTCTTACCATACTCTTTCGACTGCGATCTTTTTAGCTGTGTGTGAATGAGTTAATGTGTTGCTCCTACCTGTTGAGTGATTCTTCAATGCTGGGAGATGTAAACTAAATGATATGTATGCTTTTTCGATTTAAAGCTTTCGTGACTGCAGGGATTCATCTTCTTGGTTCTATCGGTAAAGTCACGTAGAAGGGAAATAATAAAATAATAAAAATTAAACATAATAAAATAATTCTCTCTTTGTGAGAATTTTTCTATTATATGAGAATTATTTTATTATGTTTTATTTGTATTATTTTATTATTTCCCTTCTACGTGACTTTACCGAAAGAACCAAGAAGATGATCTTTATGCTGTTGTCTCTCTCGCGGTTGTTGTTCTGCTGCTGTGTTGCTCTCCGAGGTGCTCTCTGGTTGTAACCGCGTATCGTTGGGCATGATGCCCGACGTTTCGCGCCACCCGCTGGGAACTTCTCGGGAACTCGAAGAAGTTCCCAGCACGTGTAGCGAAACGTCGAACCTCATGGCCCGAAGAAGCATTGGAGAGATTTGAGTTGAGTACCTCGTTTAAACTCAGAAGGTACTCGCCTGTTATTTGCCAAGTAATTGTGACAGCGACGTTGTGAACTCCCCGAGCAATGCAACAGCCTCTTGCTAATGACACAGCCTCTTGCTAATGGCACAGCCTCTTGATAATGACACAGCCTCTTGCTAATGACACAGCCTCTTGCTAATGACACAGCCTCTTGCTAAGACACAGCCTCTTGCCAATGACACAGCCTCTTGCTAATGACACAGCCTCTTGCTAATGACACAGTCTCTTGCTAATGACACAGCCTCTTGCTAATGGCACAGCCTCTTGCCAATGACACAGCCTCTTGCTAATGACACAGCCTCTTGCTAATGACACAGTCTCTTGCTAATGACACAACCTCTTGCTAATAACACAGCCTCTTGCCAATGACACAGCCTCTTGCTAATGACACAGCCTCTTGCCAATGACACAGCCTATTGCTAATGACACAGCCTCTTGCTAATGACACAGCCTCTTGCTAATGACACAGCCTCTTGCTAATGACACAGCCTCTTGCTAATGACACAGCCTCTTGCTAATGACACAGCCTCTTGCTAATGACACAGCCTCTTGCTAATGACACAGCCTCTTGCTAATGACACAGCCTCTTGCTAATGACACAGCCTCTTGCTAATGCACAGCCTCTTGCTAATGACACAGCCTCTTGCTAATGACACAGCCTCTTGCTAATGACACAGCCTCTTGCTAATGACACAGCCTCTTGCTAATGACACAGCCTCTTGCTAATGACACAGCCTCTTGCTAATGACACAGCCTCTTGCTAATGACACAGCCTCTTGCTAATGACACAGCCTCTTGCTAATGACACAGCCTCTTGCTAATGACACAGCCTCTTGCTAATGACACAGCCTCTTGCTAATGACACAGCCTCTTGCTAATGACACAGCCTCTTGCTAATGACACAGCCTCTTGCTAATGACACAGCCTCTTGCTAATGACACAGCCTCTTGCTAATGACACAGCCTCTTGCTAATGACACAGCCTCTTGCTAATGACACAGCCTCTTGCTAATGACACAGCCTCTTGCTAATGACACAGCCTCTTGCTAATGACACAGCCTCTTGCTAATGACACAGCCTCTTGCTAATGACACAGCCTCTTGCTAATGACACAGCCTCTTGCTAATGACACAGCCTCTTGCTAATGACACAGCCTCTTGCTAATGACACAGCCTCTTGCTAATGACACAGCCTCTTGCTAATGACACAGCCTCTTGCTAATGACACAGCCTCTTGCTAATGACACAGCCTCTTGCTAATGACACAGCCTCTTGCTAATGACACAGCCTCTTGCTAATGACACAGCCTCTTGCTAATGACACAGCCTCTTGCTAATGACACAGCCTCTTGCTAATGACACAGCCTCTTGCTAATGACACAGCCTCTTGCTAATGACACAGCCTCTTGCTAATGACACAGCCTCTTGCTAATGACACAGCCTCTTGCTAATGACACAGCCTCTTGCTAATGACACAGCCTCTTGCTAATGACACAGCCTCTTGCTAATGACACAGCCTCTTGCTAATGACACAGCCTCTTGCTAATGACACAGCCTCTTGCTAATGACACAGCCTCTTGCTAATGACACAGCCTCTTGCTAATGACACAGCCTCTTGCTAATGACACAGCCTCTTGCTAATGACACAGCCTCTTGCTAATGACACAGCCTCTTGCTAATGACACAGCCTCCTGCTAATGGCACAGCCTCTTGCCTGCAATGAATACCCGGGTTCTCGGAATGATTATTATCATATAAACTACTGCAAAGGTTATTATCACATTGTAATGAGTGGATGATGCATCGACAGATATATATAAAAGTGAAACGGAAATTACAACTTACATAGCAATGTACAAGGGCTCTGTTATTATGCAATACTTGATATTGCCTCTCACATGTGCATACAGAGAACAACCTTTGTTATACCACGGTGCAGGTGCAGAGATTAATGACATAGAGGAGATCATTGTCGTGTGTCTGCGCCTGTACGTCAATAGCCGTACTTTGCTGTATATTCACACAATCCACCTGCGTTCGATGGAGAGCGAAAAAAGAACTTCAGGCTGGATAAGCCACCCTGTACAAAGACACACGCAGCCAACCCGAATCATCTTTGACTTCATTAGACAGATGCACCTCCTGTCCCCCGCCCATCATCGCCATCACCTCCTACTCCGCCTACTCCTCCTCCTACTCTGCTCCCACGCACGAATGGGTAGGGTCATGCATGCGTGCGCGCCTCCGGCTGTGGGATAGTTACAGGGTGCACGGCGAGGGCTGCCTGCTGCCGTATTCGTGACAGGGCGAATTAGCGGGCATCAGTCTTCCCCGTGCGGTGTCGCTGCGTGTGACAACCTCTGGACGTCGTGCTCGCGTTGGAAACTTCTCCATTGCAGCAACTTCCTGGCGGTGCGTGATTGTGTCTTTTGTCATTTGACCTCACACCTAGTTTTATGTGAATGTTCTTTTAACAAAGGCATTTGTTCGGCGTGTATTATTTCAAAGCACGTCGTGGTTTGCAATTGCAAGTGTTCAATTCAGAGTATGTAAGTAATTGCGCATTTTTTCCGAAATGTCGTTTCATTATACTTTTAAATATTGTTAATGGTATTAGCCCAGTGGGATGCCATATTAAGTGGAGGCATCACACAAATGCTTACCTAAAGTTAGAATGGCTATATTTATTTGAACAATTTTGGTGCGTTATTATAAGTAAAAATATTGTTTGCAAACAAATACACTTTCACTCGTAGTTGCACATAAACATAAGAGCTTAATGTCAGAGCTAATTAAAACGGTTTAATGTATACCGTTTATATTATGCGAATATATGTTTAGAGTGCGTTTACTAAATGTATTCATTCGTTTTAATACTATCATTTGCTTATCCAGGAAAGCTTGAGTCTCAAGACTGTTATTTCATGAGATTCTTTTCAGCCCAATTCTACAAATGTGTTCGCCATGTGGTAGAAAACTAGAGTACCTGGAGACAACCCACGCATATCAGAGGATAACAGTTAACAAATTGATTTCCGATTAGAACGGTTGGCTACCTCGCAACCCAAGCCTATAACACCTGTTACATTCCAAGGCAGTCGTCCTACCAAGTAAAAAAAACCAAGGTACAACCCTGCTTAGCTTATGACAAATGACATGATCTGGCACATTTAGAGTGATTTGAATAAGATATACAATACAGGGTGATAATCTCTTTATACATGCGCCACAAATGTAATAGGGGTAACTTCGAGATAAAGCAATATTTTAATTCAGAGTGTCCACATGTCTCTCACCAATCGCTATATAAGTATGCAGTCTTCTAACACGCACCCCTGTAAGATACGGAGGTCCATGGCTTCGACAATATTCGGTCACCTGTTGAGTAGGAAGTAAATCGGTCATTAGAAATCTGTAGTCCCCCCGCTCCCTTACATTGCGGGTTGTGCTCCGTATCGAGCTCCTATTCAAATATAATAAAAACATTTCAAAAAATACATCTGTGGGTTATTTTCCAATTAATTACCCTATATATAAAGTGCAGACATTGCATGCATATCGAGCTGTGAATTGTTCCAAATAAACAAGCCTCCGGTATTGCTTCAGCTTAGATGAGTTGTGACGGCTGCACTGGTGTAGGTTTTCAAGGGCCGACCTTTGCTGGAAGCAATTTCTTGGATTGATCAAGCTCTGGCGCTGGGATTTGACCTGGTCTGGTCTGGACCAGAATACAATGGAGCGTCTTGGCAAGCTCACCTCTCTAGGTCCACTGCAAGAGAGTCGCCGCTCACGCAAGTTCGTTCTGCTCATCGTGTTCGTGGCGCTGCTGCTGGACAACATGCTACTCACAGTCGTGGGTACGTGGGGCGATTCATCGTCCTAATACTGAATCCCTCTGTGCACCCAGCTACCTGGAGTTTCATTCGTGGCCACAGCTAGCATCAGTGGCGAGTGGACTGGTCCTGGGTGCCCTTCTTCACCGATCTGCACTGACCAGTGCGGTGAAATATGGTCAAACAACCGCCATGATCCACACAGAGTGGGGAGGCCATCAATCAGCAGTGGAATGATAAAGGGCTATATATGTGTATGTATGCATAAGATATTATTTCAAGACAAGTTTGATCGTTAACAAGAGCATACATCTTGGTGGTGCATCTTGTTTGTAGTTATTCTTGATTAATTGGTACAATAAATCAAGAATAATGTATTATTGGATCCATACGTCTTACAACTTTATTCATTTAGGTTGAGGCAGCGCTACATCACACTGAGCAGATGAGCACAACAAGGTGGTATTTTGAAAAGACGCGTCGCTGTTTTAACGTTCCAAGGCCGAGCTCAGAGCTCACCTGCCCCACGTACACCGAGCGAAAACAATGCGAGCTACATTAAATAGAGGCGGCATGCATAGTGGCCACTGAAAGAGGCTTTGAGTATGAGCGACTTTACTCCGTAAGAAGTTCAGGGCAAGTTATCCTGTTTCAGCACATTGAGATTCAGTTGCATTTAAAGACGAGATCAATCCAAATTGTATTGTATTATTTAAAATAATAATACATCATTATTTTTTGTATGAATTTGTATATGGTACAGATGTTAAAAAAAGATCAAATGCGTAAAGAGTAAGTTTGTGCCAGTCGTGGCTTTAATAACCAGTCGCCAAGACATATTTCTCAGAGAAAAATGCAGTCCGACATATAAACGCACACGAAGGCTGAGTGTCTGAGGCTGTCAGACAAACATTTAAAAACATTGTTTATGAAGAGGAAACTACTTTAATATGAGGCACGCTGCTAATACACTCGCACCAGGGTTCACGCCAACACCACGACACCACTGCACTAATCTCACCATATCCGACGTGAAACAGTGACAGTACAAATTTCGATTTAAAGCTTTCGTGACTGCAGGGATTCATCTTCTTGGTTCTTTCGGTAAAGTCGTTGTGGCCGAAACGTCGTGAGAATTATTTTTTATTTTTATTATTTTATTACTTCCCTTCTACGTGACTTTACCGAAAGAACCAAGGTGAAATAGTGACAGAACAATAACAGTTCTCCTCCTCCCTGCGCAGTGCCAATTGTCCCCAGCTACCTGTACGCCATCGAGCATCCAGACGAGCCCCCACGGAACGACAGCGGGCAGCAGCTCGCTCCAATCGCCGCTCCGCACGCGGCCACAGCCACGGACGATGGTGGCTCTAGCCAGGCCCAAGGGGGGGGTCAGGAGGGGTCACAGGAGCCCCAGGAACCCAGCCCTAGCCCGGGTTCCCCGACGCCGGATCCCTGCAGCAGGCGACGCTCCCGGCACCACCGCAGCACGGGCTCGAACCCGGGCGGCAGCGCGTTGGCGGCTCTCAACGACTCGTTGTGCGACACGGACGTGGCGGCGCTGCTCAACGAGAACGTACGAGTCGGCCTGCTGTTCGCCGCCAAGGCCACGGTGCAGCTTCTGGCGAATCCGTTCATCGGCCCCCTGACAAACAGGTGATGCACCAACGACAAAGACGCCAGCGATGAATGTCGCTTCGGTCAATGGTGTGTTGTTTCGATTTAAAGCTTTCGTGACTGCAGGGATTCATCTTCTTGGTTCTTTCGGTAAAGTCACGTAGAAGGGAAGTAATAAAATAATAAAAATTAAACATAATAAAATTATTCTCACGACGTTTTCGGCCGCAACGCAAGCAGCCGTCCTCAGGTGAAAACCAGGTCCGTCGAGGCGACAGAGTGACTTTAGAACCAAGAAGATGGTGTGTTGTTGTTGTTGTTTTTTTAAGGTGCGGCCCTGCAATTTCGTGCCCACGCTACTGCTGGTGGAAGGGCATCCGATTGAGGGAGATCTAGAGACTCATCCAGACGTCTTATCGAGATGTCTTGGAATGGGTGGGAGTATTCCCACCTTTCCCCATGATACATGTCCTGATGATCGAATAACTGTGGCTGTGCTCATGTATACCGTTGGGAGGACAGAGATGGGATGATTTAAGAAACCTGTAACATTGTTTCAACTGCTTTGCCCGGGAGATCAATTTGGACGCGCAGAATGCAATGTTGTGCTGTGTTTATACGCTACCACGTCTCCACTCCCCCATATTCACCAAGCTGTACTGACCGACGTGGGGAAGTATGGCGTGGGAAGACTCTCATCCATTCGTGGATTGACAACATGAGCTGGACATGTGCATGTTGTAGCGGAAGTGCAGTGGTTAACACACTACACTAGGAATCCCGGAACCTGAATTCGATTCCCGACCATGGCTGACATTTTGAGCGGTACCCGGCCCCACTATACCACCATGCATTAACCAGCAAGGTGAAGTATGGTCAAACAACCCCCATGACCATCGTGGCGTGGCGGGGGGGGGGGGGCTTCATCCAGTAAGCGGTTTACAGAGGGCTGCAATAACGTGCCGTTATTAAGCATCACGTTTCACAAAGGGGTTGTGGGTCTAGAACCACCTTGTGTTTGTGCAATGCTAAGTGCTCATATTGGAGTTGACCTGAGGTAGGAGAGGACAAGTTTGGTTTCTATTGCCATTGGCGTGCCTGGCCAGGAATTGGATCATAGGATAAAGTGAGACCACTATGCCATTGCAGTTTCCATTAACTTTTTATTCCATCACAAATCTAAATGCACTCCGGAACACATGCACACGTTTGCAACTCTATATTTATCCCAAATTACATCCATGGAGGACTTGAAATGCCCTTGTAAACAAGCGCAGCTTCCTACGATGTGTGTAAATGCGAGCTTATGAATAGCATCCCATTAAAATCTCAGACCATTTGTTTAAAACATCCATTGCAGTATTTATTATTATTATTTGAGGGATATTGCTGTGGTGTCATGCCTAGCACACTGAACCTGCCACCCAAAATAATGGGAACCTTCAATCACACAAATCCTCCCATCTCTGTCCAGCCAGCAGTAAAAATGGGTAGACCAAAATTAATTGGTCTGCAGGTCACGTGCGGTGGAGTCAAATGTGGATACACCCGCCTCTGCCAAGATGTCTGTCCAGTTTGGAGACGTGGGAACAAGACACCCGCTAGAACAGTTCTTCTTAACCTGGGGTGCACGCACACCTCCGTGGGGGTGCGAGACACGGCCAGATTGTATTTAGAAGGTAAATCATCGAAACACAAATTAAGCCCGGGCACGTAAGTACAACTACTTTGTTTCATAAAACCCTGGGTATTTATTTATATTATACGCGTCTTAACGATTGGGAACCAAAGGGGTGCAAGGCTGCAGTAAAGGTTAATAACCACTGCTTTAGTGGAAGGCCCTTCCATCAGCAGTGGTATAAGTAAAAAAATTGCAGGGCTCCACCTTTACCCTCGCTTTTACACTTGCTCACTTTAAATTCAGCGGTGGCTAGCATCTCCAGGTCGGGTTAAACTCCTAACTCAACCTCGGGGTTTCAAGTCTCAGTCCAACCGTGAGCTGGTGGAGTAATCGCCCCGAGGATGCGATGACTGTGACTTCATTGCTCGAGAGGTTTCTCCATCAGACGGGCACATGGAGTCCATGCAGCTTCCCAGGAGAGCTTTGCTCTGCCCAGAGCCCAGCGCTGGTGCATTATTAGGTGTTTGTCTTCGCATCCCAATTGTCAATTAATCCACCTGCACGCTTCACTCGAGACTGGATTACCCCGGGTCGAGTTTGTGGCTTTGTCGCTGCGTATAAGTGAAATGCAATATGCCAGAAGCATTTTTTGAATTTTACTTTTAATATAAATGAGTCTATTTAGTTATAGTGTTTGATTATGGAAGGGGTGGTCGGTTACTCAATAGCCATTATTAGATGTTTATTTGTATGCCTATTTAAAATCTGGTTATTGATGTTTATGTGCCGTGATGAAGGACGACTGGCCGAAACGTCACATATTAAAGTAAATATTTTAAGGCTGTGTTATTGACGAATATGTATATTTTTTTCCTTTTAAAACTGATTGCTTTTGCAGTGCTAAATATTCTTATTCATTGGACCAAGGTAAATTGTTTACGAGGTTAAATGAGCGTATTTACTGGGTGTGTTATGAACTGTATGATGTATATGAGCAAACCAAACTATTCAGAGTTGTTGCTTCAATTGTGCACACTATTTAATTTCCCACAAGATTTAATAGTGTTTTTTAAAATGAAATAATGTACTTTTAGCCAAATTCTGCAGTTTGGAAACCTGATTCATAAAAATGTACAACTAAAAATTAACAATGTGCATGAACAATGGTATAAATAAACTCATCCACAATCACATGAAATATCATTACTATAATGTATTTGATTTGTTACATCGGGTTCAGACAGTTTCCTGGCTCTTTTACAAGGGAGATCCATAGTGCATGAGCAAAGTAGCAAAAAAAAACATTTATTCATTTTATAAAAGTACTATTAGCGAGCACCGATATATTCCGGCACGGCTCATGAGAGGGTGGTGTGGGCAACGCCATGCACAGCCACCTTTGCCTCCCGAACGCTGATGTTTACACACCGCACCAGGCACTCATTTAAGGATGAGTCGACCTAGAGGAGGCCAAGGACTGGTTCAGGTATCACTTGCCACTCATGGGAGCCATCAGCAGGATTTGAACCCAGATGCCCAGGTTCAAAGGGCATGCCATTAACCACTACACCACCATAGAAGTACAACACAATGGATGTTTTTTCCACAGCTCTCTACCACCCACAAAGTAGTGTTTGTTTATTCCACTGTAGTTACTATTTTGTGTCCTGTAAACGTTTATAATGCAACTTTATTTTCCAGGGCAAACAGAGTCAAGACTTTTTCAGGAGAGTTCCCTCTGAAATGTTTGGCCAATTTATTATTCGTAATACTTATATCTAGTGATTAAGAATGCCCTTTATTCATCATATATAAAATTGTTAATATGTTTACAAACTGTTGTATTGTGAAGAGTATTTAAGGCATGCAATAAATAATGTTAATCTCTCGTTAATATTATTGCATACAGAATAATTTCTGTCACAGAGTTGTTTTTTTTACATAGGTCAAATGTCATAGATAACACATACTGTAGGACATTGTGAATACCATAGGTCTCTGCTTACATTCAGTCAGAATTAGCTGCAAGTATTTCAAATAAATATTATGTAGATACTGCATATTGTTTATACGAGTTTTGCTTGCAAATTGTGCGGGCTTTTTGTTTGCATGGAGGCATGTGTGTGTGATCGTGGTCAATCACCTTCAAAAACCAACAAATTTCACACCTCGACTGTACCCTGCCCTTGCAGGGTGGGATACCACTCGCCTATGTTTGCTGGCTTCATCATCATGTTCCTGTCAACGATCAGTAAGTGACAGCACAAAGGCACACTATTCAAGCACGGAGCTCACGAGAAATCCCCCCCAACCCCCCCCCCCCACACCAATGCATGTATAAATATACAAACAACCAGTTAATTTACATTTGGACTGCATCCCTTTTTTTGCCCGCAAGCATCGTCGTCGATGGACATCTCGGCTGCTGGGGGAAATCCGCAATCGCCCTTCTATTCAGCGGACCCCTGTCGGCAATTTTCATTTTTTTTTTGTAGCAGAAAAAAAAATCTGTTTCCGCCCGTTGGCGTTTGTCTGCCACGCAGACACAAAGACATCCGACAGCTTGGCTTTAGTTTGCTCAAATTGGCCCCAATTACGGCGCAGATTATGGTTTAATGTGGGGAAAAATGCTGTGAAAATCATCGACCTTGTTTCAATTATAAGCAACTGGCATCCACCCACGTGACCTTCTCAGCGCATGCACAGCGCAACAAACATTCGGTGTGCGCCTCCACTTTTGTAATTAGATTGTGGTTTGAAATGCTCACAAAGCTTACAATTTATTCCAAGTGTGTGTCTGTGTTTTTTTTGTGTGCTCGTTTTGATGTTGTTGCTCTTCGAGTTATTCAGCCTAGCAAGTGGCTATTGCTCCACCGTTGACACAATGAGGCGCATACATCATGGGACGCTCGTGGACATGACCATGCTGATGAGGCAGGGTTTCAAGAAATGTGAAAGTTTTAAGTGTGTTTAATTCTGTAGGATCCTCTCACGACCTTCCACACAGGCATCGAGGCTGTATATATAAATCATAAACGATGATGACATTGTGGTTTATATCATCATACAATAACATTTTGGAATCCTGTGGGATGCTTCCAAACACGCTCTAAACATCAAATGATTGCAGTCCAAATAGAAGATATCGGATTTTGTTTTTGCACCGTGAACTTCGCTGACCTCAATTAATCTGAAACGCATCGCCCGCAAAGGAAATGAGATCAGTCTTCTGTTTTCATAGAGCTGGATACGCAATCTCAAGTTGGGTCGATCGTGTCTGTGTCGAGGACAGTGGATGATATCGCGCTGAGCACCCGCAAGCCTCTGGCTGTGTGCGTGTTGTTAAATGTGGCCTGACTCAGGAGGTGGGCTGGGTGGCTGAGAGGTTCATTGCGCTTGAGATGGCACCGATGGAAACCTGGACTCGAATCCAGGCAGCCGCTGGCTTGTTATTAAACTGGGTTCTCAAGAGGAGGGAATCGATGGGATCAGTCTGGTCACTAAATGACTGAACAACATTTTTTTTAAAACTCCACTTGACATTTGGTTCCGTAAAGTCACGTAGAATAGAAATAATAAAATAATAAAAATAAAACATAATAAAATAATTCTCACGACGTTTCGGCCACAACGCAAGCAGCCGTCCTCAGGTGAAGAACAGGTCTGTCAGAAAGACAGCGTCTGAATGAAACACCACCAGGCTTGGCAGCGTATATTTAAGCTGGGTTGGAGGGGGAAGAGCACCTTGATATGCAAATTCCTTTGTCAAGGCGCTCTTCCACCTCCAACCCTACTTAAATATACGCTGCCAAGCCTGGTGGTGTTCATTCAGACGCTGTCTTTCTGACAGACCTGTTCTTCACCTGAGGACGGCTGCTTGCATTGTGGCCGAAATGTCGTGAGAATTATTTTATTATGTTTTATTTTTATTATTTTATTATTTCCATTCTACGTGACTTTACCCGAAAGAACCAAGAAGACGAATCCCTGCAGTCACGAAAGCTTTAAATCGAAATTTGGTTCCGTACTTAATTTGGCTATATTCCTTCTCTGAGAATGAACCGCGTTGCTTTGACTCTCTTGCAATGAGCATTGCTGGCAGTGGCAGGTCGGGTGGGAAGGTGCTGCTCCCTATTGTGTGGGCCAGTGGTCACTTAAAGGGATCACTCCTGCAGGCCGTTCTCCTGCTGTTGCGGAGTGACTCATGCAGCCAGCTATGGCTGCAGGGTTTTGGTAGTACATGTTGTTTATGCCATTTATTGTGAAAATTCCGTCACAGTTCCTATGATTGCTTTTTCATTGCTTTCATGGCTTTATTTTGGTGATTTCGAAAAGTGTATTGGTTTAGCCATGTTTGTTTGTTGTAGTACAGAGTTAGACTGATGGCCTTAATCTAAGTTGTCTTGTGGTTGTTGTTGGTTGTTTCACTCGCATCCCACTGGGATTTTTGCACACAGCGTTGGTGTACGGTGTTTTTTTCTGCAATATTTTGCTGTCTTTTCTTGGATTTTCAGTTTGCATTTAGCCACATATTCACTTTAAGATGTTTTCTTGTTCATATTTTAGTTTTTTGTTTGTTGCGATTCAAGAGCCGAATCGCTCACGGGGCTATACCTAATAAATGAACTTGAACTTGAACTCTTACACATGTTGTTGCACTTCACTGCGCGAGATTCAAGTGCAAACTGTGTCTCATGGCGTGAAACCGAAAGCGCAGTCGGAATAAGACAGCACAACAAAATATACCATGACAATAGTGGGCTGATTCACCTCTGATCGTTGTTTGTGTCGCTTCACCCGCGCGTGCAGTGTTTGCGTTCGCTCAGAGCTACCCGCTCTTGTTTGTGGCTCGAGCTCTGCAAGGCATCGGATCCTCCTGCTCCTCCGTGGCCGGTGAGATTCTACGTCCGTGTAAAGTAAAAAAAAACACTAAATCATGCCCTCCCGCGATTTGGAAGTGGAGATGAGCTCAACTGATGGAAATTGAGAGATTCAGGTGACCAAAAAAAACTACCCCCCAAGAATTAGCTGAGGTTGCTGCTGGATTTGTACAACCCAGTGGTCCCACCATGGCAAGCATCAGTGAACAGTAATATTTGAATGTATCCTGGACACCTTTCACTAACTCACACTAAATACTGTGATGAAGAAGCATGGTCTAATTACCCTCATGACCGGACAGCATGGAGAGGTTGCGTGGTAGGATAGTTGGCATGGGTCCTGGTGGAAGGAATGGAATGGGACCCACTGTACAATGTTTGACTCTTCGTAGCCCAGCGCCTCGGCCCCTCTAACTCATGGCCCCGGTGCGGTTGCACCACCTGCACACTCCCGACCAATACCATTTGGATGCCTCCATCCAACAGCGGATTGATACAGGAGTAGAAATTGTCTTCTATTATTATTAAGTAGATATGTGAAAGACCATGATACGTGGGCAGGTCTGGATATAGTTGAATGGCTCTGGGATATTATAGTTTTGGGGGCCCCCTCTTGCATATTCGTTCCATTCCCTTAACTATTTTCCCACCAATTACAGTATGCCCAATGCCAAAGACTTCATTGTTATTCTAGTTGTTTAAATGTGGTGTACGAATTGTAAAGCTAAAGCAAAATAAAATGTAACAACAACATTTTAAATTTAGCCCAAAGCCGGTTGGAAATTTGTGGCTTTAAATACTACATTACACTTTAGGATGTATCATCGTGCCACACTATTGCATTTCAGCAATTAGAATGTAAGGCGCATGCAATTTTTGGAAACCTCTCGAAATTAGAGGCCCTGTGTTGCAGCCCCTAATGCCCCTAAAGCCCCCGTGCCAATGCGACCCTGTGTCTGAGTACCACCGTGTGTGAGTGAGGGGGCATTTGTGCGGAACGCCGGGCAGCTAAAACACAGCAAGTTGGTGCAGTAGGGGCACGACTGGTGCATCCGCCAGTCATCTTAGTTCGTCAACCCATGGCACCTGGGTCTGTCCGGTGACCTGCCAGCGGGCGTTCGACACTTCACGCGGTCTTGAAGTGCACATAGCCTGGCACAAGCGCCGTGGTGACATCACTGTCACTTAGTGGCGAATGGCGGTTGTTTTTAATGTTGTTATTTGTGTTGAGATCGACTCTTTGACCTGCTCGTTTTGCCAGGAATGGGCATGCTGGCCAGCCTGTACCCGGATGACGAGGAGAGAGGCAATGCGATGGGCGTGGCGCTGGGAGGTCTCGCTATGGGAGTACTGGGTAAGCTCAAAGCCCTCTGGATGCTGTTCAGCATTCACAGGCAAAATGCCGTCATTTAATTGCAATGCAAGGAATCACTATTTATGAATCGCTAATGTGCAGTCATCAGCACCATCACAGGTTAATAAGTATTGGTAGTGCTGTACTGTAGATCGATAGATAGACCAAACGATGAAGGTTGATATGAATACATTTCTTTATGCTATTTATTTTATTTGACACAATTTTTTCCAAAAAGTGGTTCCCCATGGAGAAAATTTCTCAAGCATAAGAATGTGGAACTTTCACCACTCGCTGTGGGCTATCATCAGGAGATAATACACAACCGCATGCTCATCCTTTAATTTTTTGCATCCGTGCGGAGCTTGGAGTTTTGTCCCCTCGTATGCGTGGGTTTTGTCCAGGTAATACACTTTCCTCGCACGTGACTACTGCTCAATAACAGAATCAACCAAACATTCAAATGCAGCGGGACCCTGCTGAAAAAAAGTCTTGAAACTCAGTGAAGCTTTCCTAGATTAAGCGAATGTGTTATTTTATTAGTTTCTATGTACTTTTTCAGCTGTAAACCGCTTTGACATCATTTATGCCATGTCAAGCGCTGGTCTCTCTGTGTATGTATGCTGTACGTGTTGCGTTGGTTCAACTTAATTTAACATGGTCACCGTGTTGCAGTGGGACCACCGTTTGGCAGCATCATGTACGACTTTGTGGGAAAGCCGGCCCCATTCTTGGTGCTTGCTGGCCTGGCCCTCTTTGATGGAGGCAAGTAAACCTCTCCGCACTCACACGAATGCCCCCATGCCACATTGCGGAGCCACTGCACCCAACAGATATATTGCCGCTAGACATATAATGACTCGCCCAAGTTTCCCTGCGATTCGTGATTCATGGCTGGGATTCGATTAAATAATCAATTGTATTGTGCTCCAATGTTGTACACTTTCCAACTGAAGTTGAAAGTGTCGGTGTATTAGCTTTCTCTATCTGTCCGTCTGTCCATCAGCCCATCCATCTCCCCTATCTGTGCCGGGAAGCCACGATAACTCTCATACAGAAAACGTTATGTATATAAGGGCTTATTATGAAGTTGTGCTGCTATTGAGGACTATAAAGATTCTCCAAAGTTTTGCCAAAACTTAGCGGAAGAACCTCATCACGAATGACATTGGCATCGTGGCCCATTGCGATGATGGCACGCGGCCAAGGCTGATGATGTTGACGGGCTTCTTGCTCCTATCCCGGGGTCACCTTGCACAGAGATGCATTGGGGACTCGGGTAGAACATCCAGGCAAAGAAGGCTTGGCTCCAGGGGTTCTAGGCCCCTCAAATGCATTTATATTTAAAATAAATACGTTTTAAACGAGAAGACATCACATGCCATGCATCCCTTCCGATGACATAATGATGTCAGTAATTGTATGTAGTGGTCAGAATGTGTGACTTGCAATCAGAAGGTTTTGAATGAAAAGTCCTGTCAGGGGTGAAACTGCCTCATAGAGTAGTGCTATGTGTGAAGCCAAGAGTTGTTTGTTTTATCGGTTAAATCGACCCCATCATGCTAATGTGGAATTTCTGCCACTTGCTCAGGGCTCTGTAAACGATATTGCACTGCCTCACTCACCCGAGAACGAAGCTGTTTTGTTTTAAGCCAAGGTGTCATTATAAGCATAGCTTGCATGCAATGTGGCCGAATTGCATCCGATTTAACAAAAGCATTTATGGGAAAATGTTTCCAGGTTATAATTGTTGGTTTCTTGCAGCATTACAGATGTTGGTGTTGCAACCAAGCAAGTCGGAGCCAGAGGTTTTGTATAAAGTTTTACAAACATTCGTTTGAGAGATACGCATGGTGTGGGACGCGTCCGTGAGGACGTCGCCAAGGATAGGAGCAATGAGATGGGCCCGTGTGCAGGTGCTCGATGTCCTTGGTGCATTGCTGAATCATTAAATATGTTGATGGCTCGTGAGGGGCTTAAATCCAGGAGTGAATGAATCATGGCTGATGATGATGATGCCCAAGTGTGTGTGTCCTGCAACACTCTCACTTATAATACCCCTTCATAATCAACGTTTTTGGGTTTAGATCGCGTTATTTATAAATATGTCGTAACCCTCCACCACCCGACACGGCCAATCAGTAAAAAAGTGTCACGTTGACAAAAGACAATTAGTTCACTGCTTTAGCCCACCGGTGTGTTGAAGCGTGAAACCACAACAATTTACAATTTGAGTACGACGTTTCGCTGGTAATTGCATCCAGCATCATCGGGCAATTCGCGATCTAAACCCAAAAACGTTGATTGTGAATAATATTGGTCGCGAAAGCCTACGTATAATACCCCCTGTCGAACGGTGCCCTTTAATAACATTTTTATTTGTTAACCCCACAAGAGAAGTCTTAACAAATGCATGATATAAAATGTGCTTCTAACTTACATTATCGAATTAGAATGCTGTACTCATGTTGTTGTGTTTTATCTTTTAATGATTACGCCATGCTTAATTTTTTAAAATAATATTGCTTTGAATTTTTTCCATTCCATATGGAGCACAAGTGTTTGTTTTTGTGTGCATGCATACACATAGCTGTAGTATACACATGATTGAGTCATCATTGAGGTGTGTTCCCTATTTTTTTATTTATTGGAAAAATCTGAAAATGGGGCCTCGATAAGAAATTTGAAAGGACCAGATTCTTTTTGGGTTTCAGATTGGTCCAAAATCATGGTGTCACGAGGAAGTGAGATCACCATCAATAAATTGAAAAAGAATTAAAATGTTGAAAACTCTTTTCTTTCGAACTGCCTTTTGTGTTTAGTTTGTTGTCCTTTCCCCATACCTCCAATTATCACGGTTGGCTACATAGGCTGCTAAAGAAGTTTAACATACATACTTTCTGTCACGTGCATGCTTTTCCTGTTAAAAATACTGTAACAATGGATGATGTATTTTTTGTTAGCATGAAGGCACGTTAAATTTTCACGTAATGTAAATAATCAGAAAATCTGAAAACCTCCAAAAAAGCGTTTACAAATTGTCCTTTAAAATCCTAAATGTTTAAATCATTACTGCAACTCACCCTAAAGCATCATCGCGTGCTTTTCTTTTTGTTTCGAGGAGTAAGGAATGAATGCAAAGTGAGCCAACATTGGGACACTAACAAATGCTTCCCAAAGTAATGTGAGATATATGCCTTCACAGAGCACGGACAGCAAAATGATATGCAGCACGTTTAATGTGAAAATGTGCTGCATTGCCAGATCAGTTAAATTGCAATTTGATTACTATTAAAATGTAATAGAGTCATAAACATATTTCGAACATGGCAGCATGTGATTATCATTAGGGCTTAAGGCTTTATTGGATTTTACATTTTTACGACTGAAAATAAAAACGATTTTGAATGAGGTGTAAAAAAAAATTCGTGGCATACCTGTTAAAGTGGCTTCAGCTATTAAAGAGGTTTTAACCCATTTCATCCTGGGTACAACCCTGATTTGTAGTGTACATGGTGAACTAGAATTGCAGGAGTCTAATAAGCATCTTTTTCAAAATTAGTACTCTTTGTACACTGTGGGCAAATGATAAATGGTTGCAGCTCGAGACAGATATGGATGCTCAGCTCTGTGAGGTTAGCATGACTAATATAGGCTCTATTCCAGAAACTGAACCATATTATTGGGTGAAGTAAAAGCAGATAAGACAATTCAATAGCTTTATAATTGCAAATGGCCATAGTTTTTACTTCATTTTGCTATTTTTTAGCAGAGAAAATATACAGTATTGTATTGTAATGATTCCCTCTTGCTCAAAATTCCCGAATATGAAAAATGTTTGGAAGGCAAATGGTGAATTAATTAACGACACAATAAAGTAATTAAGAAAACAATTAGAATGTATCACGTTTGAAATTTGAACCATTAAAAAGTAATGCTTTTACCTGCTTAAAATGAAATGCAAAGGAAATGGCAATCACTTGATTTGAATATATTTCCGTATGTAATTCAATCTTGATATATGCCATTCATAGATACAGTACTTGTAAATATTACCTGCATCATCAGTCTGGCAAGGTGGCAAGCGGATATTTGTGTGTATGTCTTGAGAGTCAGAATTTTGATTTCGACTGGAGGATTCCGATGAGTTATGAAGCTCTTTTACAGATGTCCAGAGTGTGTGGGGGGGGGGGGGGGTGACAGGAGTTGCAGAGAGAGCAGTGGTGCAGCGGTTAGCATGTGTTGTTTGGCATCGAGGTGGCGAGATGTTATCTCCCTCGCCTGGTATACAGGATGTCGTGGGTTCATTCCTGACCCCTACCCCTGTACATTTGAGGTTTGCATGATCTCTCAGTGGGTGCATGCTAACCCAACCCGGCGTCCCTCGTGTTCGATTCCCGGCCATTGATATCGTGGTGACAGTGTTAAATTATCTTCTTGGTTCTTTCGATAAAGTCACGTAGAAGGGAAATAATAAAATAATAAAAATAAAACATAATAAAATACAATTCTCACGACGTTTTGGCCACAACGCAAGCAGCCGTCCTCAGGTGAAAAACAGGGCTGTAGGAAAGACAGCGTCTGAATGAACACCACCAAGCTTGGCAGCGTATATTTAAGCTGGGTTAGAGGAGGAGGGCGCCTTGACAAAGTGTTAAATTAAATCAGAATATGTGCTGGGTATCTCCAAGGTTGACTCAACCTTAATGGGATGATTGTTGTGGTCTGCAAACATCAACTCGGTAGGAAAAGGCGTTCGCGAGTGATGCTGGCCACATCACGTTCCGTGCTGGCTTTAACAGGTGCTCACTAACAGGACACTTTATATTGTTGCCTAATGGGGGATGTTTGCCCTTACACTGTGTGTGTTCCCTTTCAGAGCCAAACAGGGACGCCTCTGCTCACGCTGCTCCGAGACCCCTACATACTCATCACAGCAGGTCCGTGCTGCACCATCTCCCATAGTTAATAGCGGACAGCACCGTGCAGATTGTGCGTGTGGGTTTAGCCTCGCCGCACGCGTACATAATTCGCACGATCATACATGTTTAGGTTCACATTGAAAGCGGATAAAATCGTGAAATAATATTTTATTGATTAATGAAAATTGTCGGATATTGGATCATAAATAATTTCAATCATACTATACATAGGGATTCCGGTAAAATTCAACTGCGATTTCTGAATCATGGTAAGTTGTTGTTGTTGTTGTTTTTAACAATATTTTCGAAATATTAAAGAAAAGCAGGTGCAAAATTCACATCATCTGCTATTGTTACATTTTTGTGTATTATGGTTATATTTGAAGACAGTGTATATTTATTATTTATATTGTCCATGACATTGCGAAGTTTATCTCTTCATAAATAATCACTGCGTAACATTTATATTCTCCCATTACTCCTCCGCCGTGGCTACTTGCATTAAAAATCTATTAATAAAAAAACATTGCTAACTTACCAAAATGTTTAGTTACCATTAAATCACCCGCGGCTCACTATGGGAAGGCGATTAGAGTCGAGGATATAATATGTGGAAAGATTAAAAGACACGGGAATGAGGAGGATAGAGAATGGGAATTGAGAAGAAAGGATGGAAAAGGAATGGAAAGATGGGACGGCGGTAGAGGGACGGAGGGGGGGAGAGGCAACGACTGGGCCAAAACATCGGGGATGAGAGGATGATGAGAGGGGAGGGAAGGGAGGGAGAGAGAAGGAAGGAGCGAGCAGAAGTAACCCGCTTGGCACATCGTCTGTTTTCACAGGGGGCGGGGAGAAAGGACGGGTTTAGGATGGGGCGGCCACACAGAAATTCTAGATTTGAAGCTTTCGTGACTGCAATGATTCATATTCTTAGGTTTTTTCGATAAAGTCACGTAGGTAAAAAAATAAAAATTAATGAAAGGAAAATTAAAATAAAATAAAAATCACGACGTTTCGGAGGCAACACAAGCTTCCGTCTTCAGGTGTAACCGTCACAGCACGATAGCTGTATCAAGTGAGAGAAATTACAAGAAAACAGTCCTTGTATATATACTGGTTGAGGGTGGGAGGAGCCAAGGTAGGACCTGAATATTATTTTTGTGAGGTTCGGTGCGGCTGAAGCACGCTGTTAGGAATGAGCCTTTGTTGTGTAAACTAGGTGCGGATGATGTAAAGGTGCGTGTAAATGGGACTGAGCTTTTAGTTATGTAGAGGTGATGCGGCTGAAATAGCTGCCAGGAAATGAGTCTTTGTTGTGTAGAATGGTTGACTGAGCCTTTTGTTATGTAGAGGTGGTGCGGCTAAAATCGCTGCCAGGAATGCTCCAAATATGTGTAGTTAAATCTTTTTTGCATGGTTAATAACAGAAGTTGCTTGAATTTCGGGAGGCTTGAGCTGGTTTAGATGGGTGTCGTTTATTTATATACTTAAACAATTGAATTGAACTCAAATGGGCTGAGGGTCAGTCAAACGATGGTTTTCTGCACTGCAGCCACCCTTTCCAAATGCCTGCCTCGTGCCTGTTCTGTGTGAGAGAGAATCGATATAATGTAATAACAAAGGGATATGTTTGTTTATATCTGGATGGCCACATGTACTTCTTGACGCACATGCAAAACATCACGGTCGCTAGAATGACGTCCCAATGCTTTATTATCCTGTAATGGATATCGTTGTCAAACCAGGGTACAAATTCAAGCCCTTGCCAGGGACTGTGCTGGATCACAGGAATGCACCACCACCACCATCATGTAAAAAGTGCATTAAGACTCGGTGAGACTTTTATTGATGTGTGTGTTTCTTGTTGTCTGCCGTGATGCAGGATCTATTTGCGTTGCTAACATGGGCATCGCGATGCTGGAACCCGCCCTTCCCATATGGATGATGGAAACCATGTGCTCGCCTAAGTGGCAGCTAGGTGCGTTTTTATTAAGCACCGAAGCACATTCAAATGTCATCTCTCATCGTCCGTCTGTGATTACGGCCTTCGTGCAGCCCATATGTCCTCGTCATGAGCACCGTTGGGCCTGGGATAAGATCGTGAGGACGGCACGTGCTCAATAAAGCACGTGGGAAACATAACGCGTCATACACCACAAGTCAAATAGGGAGAACGTGGGTTCCTATCCTTTACGTAGCCGTACAAAGCAAATCCCAACGTGGTAGGAGATTATGGCGGTGACAGATGTATTGCTTCAATGAGTGTGAGCCAGCTTAAAGGCGACACGATATTCCAACCCACCATCAGTCGGTCATCATTCATGAGTAGTGTATGACAATGTGTGGGCAGTGATCAGTCTCTTGAAATATAATAGCATGTTTAACTCCTAACATTGGGTTTTTATTTATATCCCACTTTCACATGTACAGTACGCATGATGTACGCATTACGGGGCATATTCATCAGGAATTAGGCATGCAATTACGTAAAACTGTATTGCGCCATACATGTTTAGTTTGCCTCCACTGAATACTAGCTCCTTGGCATATGGATCAGACACGCGGACAGTGACGCATCGCTAGAAGGGATGATAGCCGATGGATGGGACTGGCGACAGAATGGTAGCTAAAGGACAACACACGGCATAGAGGACGACCACCATATGGAGATGGAGCGATTAGATCAGCTCGTTTGTGGAAATGAGTTGAATTGTGGTATCAAGTTGTTGTATCGCCCTGGCATGGAAAGGCATTCATCCAGCAGTGGATAGATAATTGCGGATGATGATGATGGTGATGAATGCTCCTTTGCCTTAAAGTCTCATTCTGTAATAATTGTCAATGAGTTTAAATCATTGGTGAATTATTTTTCCACTCTGGTTCAGAGCAGGTGGAGCAGGCTATGTTAGCAGCGATGTTATGTTAGCAGCTGCATTCAATACAGGGCAGTTGTAAGGGATGGCCGATCCTCCCTGTTGTCGATGCTGCAGTTTCCCTTTAACCTGCAATCTTCTGGAGTTGCTGTGGAAACCAAAGGACAGGATAATGAAAACAATTGTGATATTAAAAAAACAATGCATGCGGCACTATTCATATTTCGTGACACTGTACATAAAGTCACGTAGAAGGGAAATAATAAAATAATAAAAATAAAACATAATAAAATACAATTCTCACGACGTTTCGGCCACAACGCAAGCAGCCGTCCTCAGGTGAAGAGCAGGTTTTTTCTGAAAGACAGCGTCTGCCACTAATTATTTTATTATTTCCCTTCTACGTGACTTTACCGAAAGAACCAAGAAGATGAATCCCTGCAGTCACGAAAGCTTTAAATCGAAAAATACACTGCACATACATAGCACGGTTGGATATATACAGTGCTAAAGAAGTGCAAAAAATTACAATACTAAATCCTGACTATTTTATACTTTACACGTTTTTCTTTACGAAGTCTAATATTATTTGCTCATAATTATTCGTCTTAATGCGTGGTACTGCTTGGTAAGTGGAGAGTTGTTATTAATTCGTAAACATGCTGGTGATAAAACTGAAACCTTTTTACGAGGAATCACGTCTGCATTAACCACAATACTTGTGGCCAAAATACAAACAAAAAAATACTCTGATAATATATGCATTGTCCTTGAAACTGATTGGTCCACACCAGAGACAGCTTTCTTTGTAGCCTAGTCTCAAATGGAGTTAGACCATTTGAGACGAGGCTCAAAGACAATGCATATATTATTAGAGTATAATCTTGGTACTGGCAAAGTATGTCCCAGGAGGTCCCAGGATGCTGGTGATTTTTTTCCTCCCCAAAATAACAGTTAAAATGTTCAGTGTTGATTCATGTTGTTATTCTAATTATCTTGATACATTTTTGAGAGACAATCTGTTGCATTTCTTTCTTCAACGACATTATGCTATCATATTTTATACATGTCTGTTTTTGTGTGTGTGCTTTTACAGGAGTTGCTTTCATTCCAGCCAGCATCTCTTACTGGATAGGCACCAACATATTTGGACCTTTGGCTCACAAAATGGGAAGGTAAGGCATTAAAACGATGTGTAAATTTGCCCTGCCTTTGACAAAATCACCTGGAAAAATCATATGTATTATAGTAATTTCAACATGCAGTGGGTAGAGTCATTGAGGAAGTGTCTGAAACAAGATTTTATTTTTTAACAAACTTCACTTCACATGCCACACCACAGTACGCCAAAATAAATCCACACGTATGTATGTTTGTTGAGCTTCTTTAGCACCATATGTAGCCAACCGTGCTAATTGGAGGTTATTGACACCTTCGTCAATAACACTGTGGCCTTAAAAGGGAAAATATATAAAAGATGACGTTTTGGGAAATGCCCCTTCTTCATAACGCCATAAATAGAGAGACCTGCGAGTCAAACAGGGCCTGAGATGACACTTTGCACCATGGGACCTTGATAAGAATTACATTTAATAATTGTTTCCTGATGAACAGATTTTTTTTATTTTCATAGATATTGAGTAACAGTCATAACCTGCAATACTATAAAATGTATTACTCCATTAATTAATTTGTATTAAAAGTAAAATTATAACATTTGCTAGCATATTGCAGTTTGGGAAAAACTGTTGCAGTGTGGTCTCGAATAATGTACAGAACACAGAAATATAATCATTCGTATCATTCACTTAGTGACACGAATGCGAAGTAAGTTATATTAATTATAGTCATGCTTAGATGTAATTATGATTGCTAAACAGTCAAATGAGGATAGAGGCCTTGTGTGTTCGTGCGTGTGTGAACGTGTGAGCGTGTAACGCACTTAAATTGAATCGACGCTCTCTGCCTCAGTGTGAAAAATGTAAGAGAGGGCAAAGTAAGGCAACAGAAGACTTCACGTACATGTAAGACAGAATGATGTTCCATAAGATATAAAGCCAGACCTCGAACCACGTAGCTTCCCTCCAGCCCAGGATCACAGAGTCAATTGTTACATAACAGAATGAAAATACTGCAATTGTGTCATACCAGCTCACATTCTCATCTGAACGGATGCCCCCCGAATGAGGCACACCTTGAGCAGGTCACCAACTTTCGTGACCCAACCAATTAACTGTCGAAGCTTCCTGTGACGTTCAATTCCAAACACAACAAACACTTCATCGACCAATGGTATCCTTAAGTTGGCGTGGTCAATTTATCAGCCCGTGGCTGTCTCTCTCTCTCTCTCTCTGCTGCAACAAACCCCGGTGGGTCTCATCTCTCGTAAAATTCGTTTAAAACGTCGGAACGATTTGTGTGCTTCACAGCTGCCTCCGGTGCGGTCTCTATGCTATACCCGCGCGCGTTTGCCTGCCATGTTTATTCAGGAACCGAAGTGAGCGGCTCATTTCGGTTCCTGAAGCAAGCGCACAGCGTGTAGGAGCGAAACGTCGGACGTGATGACGAGCAACACTGCGGCGTGATGTCGAACCCCCATTTGGAGAGCTGAACTGTATAGCGCCACAGCGAAAAACCTACGCGGTACAAATTGTGCTTTTCTGTTGCTGTTTGAACATCTTAAAACAACTGTTTTATTGCCGGAAAGGGTAAAAGCCTTTTCTTATATTTTGATACTGGCAAGAGAGGTCCCATGATGTAGCTGCTCACCCCGAGCTCTCAATGTCCTGATAGTGGCATTGTCTTTGTGCTGGACGCCTTTTGGCGTCCTCTGGTCTAACACTGGTTGAGACTAGGCTCTAAAGAAAGCTGTCTCTGGTGTGGTCAAATCAGTTTTAAAGACAATGCACATACTGTCAAAGCATGTTTTTTGTTTGCACGTTCACCACAAGTACGTGTGGTTAATGCAGACAAGATTCCTTGCAAAAGGTTTCTGTTTGGTGTTTTAACATCTTAACAACTGTTTTATTGCCAGAAAGGGTCAAATCTATGCGGTAAAAATTGTGCTTTGTTTGCAGGTGGCTGTGTGCACTGATCGGAATGGTCGTAGTAGGAATCTCCATAATCTGTGTAAGTTGTTACCATTATTTTTGTTTGCTTTAACGTTTGTACGTAGAGTTCATTCAGAGTAAGCGAAGCCTGCTTCTTTAATAGCGTTCGACCTTTCTGCTGCCACTCTGTGTTTCTCTCGCACTCCTGTCAGGTCCCGCTGGGCAAAACAATTTACGGACTGATTGTGCCAAATTTCGGTGTTGGCTTTGCAATCGGTAAGTTTTTTTTTAATACAGGAGATCAACAAAATTTTAATGATGATGATGATAATAATAACACGGGCACATCAACAACGATAATATCAGCAATGACTCGCGTGACAAAAATATCAGTGAATTGTATAATAAATTCTAAACTTAATATAGCTGGAGTCGCAGGTTTATGTTCATTATGTTCATGCTTAGATGTTATGATGATAATCATGGTGAAGATGATGATGATGATAATAAGAATGGTGAAGATGATGGTGCAGGAATTCATACTCTTTGGGTATTTCGGTAAAGTCACGTAGATAGAAAAATAATAAAATAATTAAACATCACGGCGTTTCGATTGCAACACAAGCAATCGTATTCTGCCTCAGCAGTCCGCCAGCTGTATTTTTTCACCTGAAGACGATTGCTTGTGTTGCGAACGAAACGTCGTGATTTTTATTTTTCGATTTAAAGCTTTCGTGACTGCAGGGATTCATATTCTTGGTTCTTTCGGTAAAGTCACGTAGAAGGGAAATGATAAAATAATAAAAATAAAACATAATAAAATTATCACGACGTTTCGGCCACAACGCAAGCTTTTTATTATTTTATTATTTCCCTTCTACGTGACTTTACCGAAAGATCCAAGAATATGTCGTGATTTATTTTTCTATCTTTCGATCTGCGTGACTTTACCGAAAGACCCAAAGAGTACAATGATAATGGTGAGAGTGACCGCAGTTGTATTGGTGCTGATCCTTAATTGTGGCTCGCGTGGTCCAGGGATGGTGGACTCCTCCATGATGCCACTCATGGGTTACCTGGTGGACTTGCGTCACGTCTCTGTGTACGGCAGCGTCTATGCCATTGCCGATGTCGCATTCTGCATGGGCTTTGCACTGGGTATGACTCAGGGATGCTCCCCCACTCGCTTAACCTCAGCCATGCAAACATAACCCTTGTCATGTTCACTCACCGCCTCGGATAGCGCACCTCACCACGGCATAGATTAGTTTGTTGGACTTTTCCCAATTTTTTTTCTGATTGTGCCATCGGCGTACGATGCATTCAAAAAATTGTCATGTTCAAGGCAACATGAATGCACGTAAAAGGTGGCGCTTCGAAAAGGTCACCGTCTCCAAAACACGGAGCGATTGTGGCCACGTAACCCAAGCTATGGACCAGTCTGTGTTCCTTCAGTCGGGAGTAATATCACAACTACACGAACTCTCTCCCTGAAGCCCCATCGTGGCTAGCGGACCTCGACGTTGGCATTTAGCTCCCGGACATGTTACCATCTTACCCATTGAACAGAATAGTATGTTTTGTTGGATGTATTTCATATTATGGACAGCATAACTCACGAGTCAAATGTTAATCGCACAGCAATCATCATTGAGGCACTTCTCAGTGTGTGAGCTGAACGTGCGCCGGTGGCTAATCGTGGCATGTCCCTCTCTTTTGTTCGTGGCACTGGGATTACCCTTTTATTTTAGCGAGTGCCACACCACCAAAGCAAAACGTGTGACAGGCGAGTGCACTCACACGTGCCCTGAGAGGTTAAACAATCCCTCGGTAAGCCGTGACAAGTGCAATCTATTTCAATAAATTAAAACTGCGACTCATTGTATCTGCCGCACCGATGGAAGGACGCATAGACGCCTATGGTTATTGCTGCGCCCGATTATTTCCGCAATCAGATTTTTATTTAAGTGCTACTACGGAGTCTACGCGATATTCATTGGAACTCTACGCTGTTGCGTGAGAATCACATTATCGGCAAATGCAACATGACCCATTGATACTTAAGTCACCATATTTACCACGAAGCGGTCTTATGACTTCTTTCCGGAATTCACACATCCATAATGCAGCTGCCGTGTCAACACATGATAGCCAACGCTCACACAGCAGAACGTCTGTTACAAGGCTGACCTGTCTTAATGTCATTGGGAAATAACTTGATGTCACCACGAACACCCTTTAGGTATTCGCCCATAGATCTGTCATTCATTTGGTGGCACATCCGCATTGGGATGTGGTGTTTGCATTCAGGATTGGGAAGCAAGGGACATGCTGAGTGCTTCTTTACGAATGTACCTCTCATCTTCAGCCTTGATCTAGGCCTCGCCGCCTGTCGACGAAACATTCCATCTAGCACCTGCACACCAGCTGATCTCATTGTTCCATCTCCGTACTGGACGTCCTCTCTGGCGTGTCCCCTCCTTTAGATGCCGCTCAGCTGTTATTCTCTATCCCCTCCGACTGGCCGTCATCCCGAGTGATGTGTCCTGCCCAAGACACCTTCATCCACATTGTGCCTCATATCTCTCTCTCGGTTGCAATTTCAAGCATGCATTTTTCTCCACGCTTTGTTGCAAACTTTCCAGCTTTTAATCCCATTTGCATAGTCATTGTCCACGTTTCTTAGCTCATAGACCTTTTCAAAATACACATTGAGTATTCATATTCTTAGGTTTTTTCAGTACAGTCACGTAGGTAAAACATCAATATTAATGAAAATAAAATAAAAATCAGCTGCAGCTGCAGCTAATCCGGCTGTGACGGTCCCACCTGATGACGGAGACTTGTGTTGCCTCCAAAACGTCGTGATTTTTATTTTATTTTATTTTCATTAATTTTGATGTTTTACCTACGTGACTTTACCGAAAAAACTCAAGAATATGAATCCTTGCAGTCACGAAAGCTTCAAATCTAGAACACATTGAGTAGACACGTTCATACTGTGGGTACTTGTCCCTGCACGTGATTCAGTGTGTGCGCTGCTATTTGTGTGTGTACGTGGGTCGAATGGCATGAAGGTTTGTTTGCTTGTCACTTCAATTCTTGGCCACGAACGAACACCAGTTTGCAATTGGAATCTGAGCCTTGCTTGAGCATCACCTAGATTGACTCAACTTAAAATGCTTCTCTTTTTTTAAAAACCTCTTAACGTCTTGAATTGGAAGACAGAGGTGGCCCGGGCATGCTGTCACGCAACATTACACCGTCACGTGCCCTACCAGCCTTGACAGGGTCCAACAGTCTGGCAGGCTATCACTGACCACTGTCGGCTCTACAGTCACGCTCCATGAGAAGTAATTTACTTGGTTCACTGATGATGGGAAATATCTTTCATTGTTCAGGGTTCAGCATGAGACTAACGCCATGTTGAGCTATAGGCGAATCCAGTAATTTGAGTGAAACCAATAAACTTGTCGTCCATAATTTTAGGGTAGACAACATTTGAACATTTTAGTTTTTATATTTGGTTTCAAGTTAGAATCATACGATTCAATTTTTCCTGTGCCAAAATCCACCTTACTGTGCTTTCTACAACAGTATGATGATGTATATTAGTCACTCAGCCATGATCATGTCCCGACAAGATTCGTGTCTGCGATGTTTCCAGGCCCTTCTGCTGGCGGGGCTATCGCTCGCACCATCGGGTTCCCCTGGCTGATGACCATCATCGGGATAATCGACATCCTCTTTGCTCCGCTGTGCTACTTCCTACGTAGCCCACCCGGCCGCGAGGAGAAGATGGTACGTTCCAAACGGCTCCCCCGTGCGCCACTCGAATTGAGCGGTTAGCCAACATTTATCCAAGAACATCAATACCGCCATTTACTCAACACCAAAAACGTCAATAGGCATTTGACCGCAGCATGAATCAGACTTTTAAAGTGTGAAATTTCAAGCCGCCCCTATTTTGTCCAGTCCCCCTATCTCCAATCGGAAATGTGCAGCGTTGATGTATACGCTGCTCCGTTGGATGCCATTAATGAAAGCAGATAGTCCGACACGTGACACTGTTTTACAGTTATAATATGTAGGCTACTTCCGTTGGGTGTTTAGCTCCAGCATATGGTATTATAGTAGTATTTGTTTTTCTTTTAGAAATACCCTCGGCGCAATCGTCTTGTATACAGGAGGACGTGGCTTTGATCACGACCCTGACTCCTGCTGTATATTTGGAGTTTGCGTGTCTCTCTCTCCCCTTGATCGCGCTGGATGTTTATCTGGATCCTCCGGGTTCTTCGTTCCACATTTATAAACAACAGCACGCGTTTAGAGTATTTGGCTGCTAATAATTTCCACATGCTAAGCCACTTCGTTGACCTATCATTTGTGACCAGGTCGCTTCCGAAATATATCTATATAACTCAGTGTGCCTTACCTGATAAAATAAAAAGATTAGTTTAACAGTTTTATTTGAGATAGTTACATTTATTAATACAATCCTATTAATTATTAAAAAAAAAAACATTAAAAAATAATGCTAAAACACTTGTAATGACTGAAAAAATACCCCAAGCTAATATGCAGCCTAACTGCTATTTAAAAATAAACAAAGATCTCCGATTGGTAGAAAGATGCCTCCACGGTGATTGGTCGGGCGGCAGACTTTTACATCGATTGGAGGAATTAGGAGGTTTGAACGAGATCGATCTGAAAACAGAGAGAGTATCCGTTAGAGGTGAAGGGCAGGGATTGTCGAAGGGAAAAACAAGGACAAGAAGGTTCGAGAAAGGGGACTGAGGAGTGGGGACGTTCGTAGGAAGTTACAAGCTGCAAGACAAGCACGAAGCCTCGGGTCCCTTATACTGGTAGAAACCACCTGGTTACACCAGCCCACAGGGAATTATTGTGTCCGTCCATCCGTCCGTCTTGCATCCAAAAATGGGAGGGGTGGGGCTGGGTAGAGAGGGGAGGGTGGGGAGGGGCTAGTTGGGGAGGGGCTGGGTGGGGAGGGGAGGGTGGGGAGGGGCTGGGTGGGGAGGCTGGGGCTGGGTGGGGAGGGGCTGGTCACCCCGTGGTGCCCTTATAAAACTCAACGTTTAACCTACTCACGTCGGCTTGTGCCCGCCCTCACAGTCGGGCATATTTGCGGAATACACCACGCCGCAGTTGACCCTGGCCATTGACCGAGCAACCCAACGTTCCTACCAGCTCCCTCCGCAGGAATGTGTTTGTGGCTGTGTCCAAATGAATTGGCTCTTACTACATCGTCGTCAGAGTCGTTACACATGTAGTAGTCTTACAATTATGGTTGTGTGTTTAGTGTCAATAATGCGAACAGTAGTTGAGCAGGTGAGCTTATTGTTACACAACAAACCCTAATTAAAGATTTTGACTTAAAACTTTCGTGACTGCAGGAATTCATATTCTTTGGTTCTTTCGGTAAAGTCACATAGATAGAAAAATCATGATAAAAAAATTAAGTGAATCATTTAAAAAATATAAATGAAAATAAAAAAACACGACTTTTCGATCGCAACACAAGCGGTCGTCATTAGGAAAAGGGAGGTTAACCTCTGAAGGCAAACTGTTTATAAACATTTTATTTTATTTTTTATTCACTTTATTTTTTGTTATAATTTTTCTATCTACGCGACTTTACTGAAAGAACCAAAGAATATTAATTTTAAATTTCCTTTGGTTGTAAACCTCTGGATATGCCATGCGATGTTGGCTTCTTTAGGGCCTCTTGATCCAGTTGTGTTGAATGGGACAAAGTTATTCTCAACGCATCATGCAGACTATTCCCACCGATTGGATTTTGTTTTAATATGATACAGGTTTTTAAAAAATCCTTTATATTAAGTTCACTTGCTTGCTTGCTTGCGCGCTTACGACCGTGCAAATCTTTCGGTCGTTTTATAACCCACTTCCCGTGATCCAATCGAGCTGACATTTTGCACACAGACTCGTTGTGCGTGACAATTTATTTTCGTGAAATTTTTTTCCCAAAATTTTACACTTTTAGGAAAAAATAAATAATGTTTAATTACCAATTGCTTAATGGTGGCAGGCAATCATCTGACCCATAGGTGGCAGCCATCTCAAGCCAGAGGACGAGAGGACTCTAGCCGCCACGCATATAATGTATTTATAGTGAAAACTTTGTTTTTACTGGTTAATTTTATTATGGGTTCAGTCAAATCCACAACCGACTAAGGGGCAATGTATGGCAAACAGCAGAGGGCGGTGAAACCAACTGGACAGTCATTCTGCACGACGCTCGCACGCCTATGCTCCCCCCCCCCTCGCCATCACCAACCCATACTGGCCAGCATCGTGTAAGGATGGTCAAATAGTCCGCCATGATCTGTACGGCATGGGCAGGTCCTCAGCACGTGAAATGTCGAAGGGCGGTAAATACGCTGTGAACGAGTTCAACTGTCCATAATAGAGGTGTTATTGGGTTCAACCGTGTAAATATAAATGTGTCGTGAATCCCATTGCCACCCGACACAGCCAATTAGTGAGGTTTGTCACGTAAACAAAACGTGCCAGTTAGTTACTGGTTCAGCATACCGGTGTGTTGGAGAGTAAACCCACAACAGTTATATGTTCAACTAAGTACCATGCTGTCCTTTCATACTGGAAGGTGCACTTTTACAATATCAACTTGTTTGTTTCGCGCCCTTCCGGTTAGCAAGGTTGGCTATGTACGGTGCGAAAGAAGTTCAACATACGTACATACATTTAGACCAAGCCAGAGTTTCTAATAATGTATGCTCACAATCGTTTGTTTGTGTGTCAACGTCACATTGACCCACTTGGGCATCGATGTCAATTCATAATGTGACAGTCGCAAGGGCCACTTTAGCCAACGCACGTGACAGGAGGTCATTGAAGGCATGCGACTCACCGCCACCGCCACCGTTTCTCACCTCGTATTGATATGGAGGTGACCCCACAACAGCCTCGGACTCGCAGGCTTCTAGACCTCCGTGCCATGCTCCCAAGTCCCCTGAATTATTTCATAGTGACAAATAGTCTCTCGCGGTCATAAGATCTGCAACCAGTCCTCCAGACCTCCTGTAATTCCACGGAGGTCCAAGCAGTACCTGCCAGCTCGTGCCAGATAAATGACAGCCTCTCCAATCCCCCGGCCCTTCCCCAGTGAGTGTTCAGCCATTCCGTTTGGACAGCCGTGGCAATTGCGCATTGCTGCTGGAGGTTTTCGGATGTTGGGTTGGGGTCGGGAGGGAGGCTTGGTGGAGATCAGCCCGCAGGCTCCACCAAATGGTATTTGATTTATCGTGCATCTCTGTGTGCTCGCACGCAGAGTGGTGGCACGTGTGCTTAGCGCACTATTCTGCGAATCGGGTGACCTTAATTAAATTCCTGGCCACGGCCTTACATCGATGGCAGGCGGCAAAGTGGTATCTGAATCTGTCGCGGACCTCCCACAGGATGATTCGACCTTAAATGTGTGCGTTCTGTGCAAATATCAGCACCGGGGAGACAAAGGCGGCCGGGAAATGGTACCGGCCACACCATCGTCTTCTCGTGTGTCATGCCGACCTTCATAGGAGGTTGTTAACAGCACTCTCTGCCGCGACAATATACGCATCTGCGGTGAGATGTTGTTGGTCTCCGTGTATATATAATTTTTAAATCCTTTATATTAAGTTCACTTGCTTGCTTGCTTGCGTGCTTACGACCGTGCAAATCTTTCGGTCGTTTTTTAACCCACTTCCCGTGATCCAATCGAGCTGACATTTTGCACACAGACTCGTTGTGCGTGACAATTTATTTTCGTGAAAATTTTTTTCCAAAATTTTACACTTTTTAGGAAAAAATAAATTATATTTAATTACCAATTGCTTAATGGTGGCAGGCAATCATCTGACCCATAGGTGGCAGCCATCTCAAGCCAAAGGACGAGAGGACTCTAGCCACCACGCATATAAAGGATTTATAGTGAAAAACTTTGTTTTTACGGGTTAATTTTTTTTACGCGTGTGTTTGTGTGTCGTATTGCGTGCAGTCCATCCTGATGAATGAAGAGTGCCCGGTTCGCACGCGCATGTACACGTCCCAGGGCAGCGTGAGAAGCACGGCGGACGGGGCACAGCCCACTGGGAACGACGTCGGGGAGGAAGAGGAGGAGAGTGAGGAGTGAACCCGTTGAGTCCAAACGGTGCACGCGTAGTGCATTAGTTTAACCGACGCATTCATTGGATCGAACCGGTTTTACACAGCAGGGTAGGAGGATTTTACAAAATTACACCGAAAATTGCACCTCCAATTGGCACGGTTGGCTACGTACGGTGTGAAAGAAGCTCAACAGATATACATAGCCCTGGTTTCTCCCCCCCCCCACCCCCACCGTAAGTTGTTTGCACTTCCTATGCTGTGTTTAAACTTTCTATGATATTTTTTTGTTACAAATTTTCTTTAAAACTCTTTAACAAATGCACTATAAGTCCCAAAATTTGTAAAGCTTTCAATGGAACGCCAACGAAAAGGACAATCAATTGAAGTGTAAGACGTTACGGGGACACCCAGACATAGCCGCGTTTGGCATATATTTTAGCATCGTATCTCAAGAATTTTAAAGTATAAGCTGCTGCTGAGATCCACTGTGAATCAGCTAGCCATGATGAAGCTACAAAAATCTCAACATGTTCGTCACTAACACTGCCTTATCAGGAAACGTATACAAGAGGTAACGTTTCAGAGCCTCCTTCAGAGCACATGATTAAATGAAGTTGCCCAGTGTTCGTGTGAACCGATGGTCTCAGGCCGTTCACCAATAACTGCACACAAAATATCAATAATAATAATAATACGACATGTTACTTTGGAGTTAATTTTGGGAAAAAAATTGCTCTGAGAATTATAAAAAAACATATATTGTTTGGCCTGTTATACGGTAAACAATATAATGACTGAGTGTATTGCAAACATGTGACCCCTGCCATATGAGGAGGTAAAGGCCACTGGAAGGATACTTTGGGGAAAAAATAATCTCCGCACCCATTCCCTGACACACGGGATGCTCTGCTGTGCAAGATTTCCGAACGGATTCTGTGTCTAATGACATGACTCCGAAAGCATAATTAGATTAAATTAGAAAAACTAAAAAAGAATTTGAATGAAAATCATTGCCCCATTATTAGTATTGTTTTCGATTATTTTCCATAACGTGCATCTGTTTGACAATGCTTAGCAAAACCTTTCGCGTTAAATACATTACATCTATGAGCAGACCTCTGCAGTTGAGTGTGCATACCAAAACAACGCTGTATACTATTCATAAGAAGCGCGTATGTGTTTTGTGCAAATGTATATTGGTGCTGCGTAGGTTTGTGCGATTTTGCTGCGTACCTCTCCGATACGTGTTCAGTTTGCGCCGCGTGTTGTTTGGCAAGATGTCCGACGTTTGAGCTTCACGCGCTGCGATATTGTACGTGCAACATTTCGCTCGCTTTCACGGCAAATGAGATCGGCAGAAAACGTCGGTCACGAAGAAGCTGCCAGCAAGCGGAGCATAATGTTGGACATCATGTCGAATTACACGCGGTGAAATTTGAAAACACATCTTGAGAAATGTGATTGGCATAAACATCATTGGGGTTAAAATGCAACCGAAGATTAATCAGCAGCTGGGACAGATAAATGGGTTACTGCATGGAAGGTAATGCGCATTAAGCTCCCGTTTTCATGGGAACTGCTGCTTCTAAATTTCCCTTCGCTTGTGCTGAAGGAAATTAAAATGGCCCATGCACCGGATATGTTGCTACACGTTCAACGTTGCAGCGATTGTATCTCATCGGCCCTATTGGTACGGCGATGTGAGGATATGCTGAACGCGACCCATGGACACAGGAGGCATGCTCAGAGAATATGGCATTATATAAAAACATAAACTTGATTCTCAAAATTGCGAGCGGTTACTTTTTTTAACATATATAAATAGAAACTAATAGATGCTGCTTTTTTTCTACAGAATTTATTTAAAATATATATCGCCAGTGTTTAAAATCCATTCGTCTTTATCTGTTCTTATCGATGTTTAAATGTCATGTCGGCCTGTAGCACAGCAATTTCCTTTCAAATTGTTTACCGGCATTCTCCCCCTGCCTTTACTCTAAAGACAAAAATCAGCCCCATACCGACCCAAAGATTCAAAATTTCAACAACAACAAAACTCTACATTGTAGATAGCGACTTCGCTTCACATTACTCGGCACGTGTGCACTGTTTTTCGTCATGCAATCGATTGCATAATGCTATATTTAATTACTGCAATTAAAAAAAAAAGACATGCAGCGAACAAAAATGTTAGCCCCGTGGTTCTGGAAAGAAACGTTAATCATTTTGATGCCATTAGTATTGTAATTTTGTTGTCCTATAGACATGTCTTCTGTGTGCAATTTCACGTAAAGTCTGTAATGCATAAAGCATTGAATGTTGTGCCTTGTAAAGCTACAAAAGAAATGTAATCAAAGACAATGTGGAACATACCATACACACTGATTGGTTTACGATAAAACATCCATCCCAAAGCTTTGCGTCTACTGAAGGCAAATCGACTTGAATCGTGTTTGTAATGTATTTCAATTGAACGGCTTCTAATGTTTTATAAACAATGTGTCACGTTTAAGCTGTAACCAGAAGTTGTAAATGAATGGGATGGGTGGGTGGGGGGAGAAAGTGAATGAGTGCGTAATTAATGTCTGGCTCTACTTGGATAATTATATTGCATAGAAGAAGCTTAATTTGGTAAACTTTGCTATTTTCTAGAAATATATCTTGAACATTTCAAATAATGACGTGTTTAATTGAAGCAAATTTTTGATGAAAACAGGGAGGTTTACGCTTTAAAATGGTCAAAATGCATATTAAACGAGCAGCAAAGTCTTTGACAAGTCACAAATCACAGCAGTCACGTTTTAACGTCGTCATTGTAAACATTTAAGGGCCGCACATTTTAATTAAACTGTCAAGCTGTTGCAAAAACGTGTTCCATTCCTCGTGAATCGCGAACCCCCAGAAAACAAGAAGACAAACATCGTAAGGGGTCTGCCCTTTTGTCAATCCTCTGTTGGCCGACGGCCTCTCCATGCTACGTCAGTCATGGGAGTTGTTTTTGTGGTTTTGTGTCACCACGGTCGTAAGTGCGACTTCGCGAAGAGGAGGGGGACGGGACCGGGTTGAGATATCGCTTGCCACTAATATAAACCAGGGCCAGGGATCGAACCTTCCGACCCAGTATAAGAGTTTAACACGTAGGCTTCCGCGGCCAATATTATCCATAATAAATATGGCTGTTCCGCCCAATGATGCCAGTTGTAATTGTTGTGGGTTTACTCTCCAACACACAACCGGTGTGCTGAACTAGTAACGAATTGGCCACGTTCTGTTTACGTGACAAACCTTACTAATGGGCTGTGTCGGGTGGTGGCGGGTTTAACGACACATTTAAATGTACACAATCTAACCCCCCCAAAAAAACCTCATAGCACAGTGCACAAATCACGGCGCCACTGCTGGCTACGTACGGCGCGAAAGAAGTTCAACATGCATACACACAGGGGTCGCGAATTCTGAATGAGGTCGTTGAGACCCGGGCTGATGATCTTCATCCACCCGATCCTCTGTCCAACCGGCACCAAAGAAAAAAGCAAAGCGCAACAAAGCAAAGCGCAACAAAGCCTTTGTTGGTACGCGAAGTCACGTTTCCTGATCCATTGAGCAAAAGTTGTTCTATGAGGATGACCTGAAAAGGAGACCTTCCACCTGGAGCTGCCTCTGCGCTATGAGCCCGGTTCACGTGCTCACGAATTGGCAGACACACATTGCCTTAACCGTTCAGTTGCCCCTTCGTTGATGACGGACGCAATTGGTCGCGTTTTGACATCGATTCATATCCAGCAACATGTGAATAGGACCCCACGTGTGATGCATATGTACACGACGCGTTCGTTTATTTTTTTATTTTGTTCATGACGCTGGTGGTCATACGTGGTCGTAGCATTGTAGAGGACGTTGTACTAATTTTCACATCCAGCACATTTTCATTCATGTTCATTGCAGGTATTGATCGGATTATGAATTTGGAAGAACATCATTCTGTTAATTTGGAGATGTGAAAAGCTGGACCGTTGACAGGTCTTAATAGCAGGGGGCAATCATTGATAATGCAGTGTTTGTGATGCAGATTTCAGATCTCTTAACCTGTAGCTTAAAGGAAAACATGTGTCGTGATTTAAATATGAAAGAACACAATCTACACATCAATGAAGGAGGTGGGCAGGCTTGAAACGCTGGATTGGATTTCAGAACGTTGATAACTTGAGTTAGATTGAAGGCAGGTAATTCACCTTGATGTTCCATATAATTACAATATTTTGGAAGCCCATTATTTGCAAGCTTACATGGACTTTCTGGACTGCAGAGACTGCTTTAAATAATTGAATCAATTCCACGTTAGTATTGCAAGCGAAATGTAATGTGAGCGAATTTCTCACAAATGCTTCTTATATATCTGGAGCAATGCCAATGTACAAAGCTGACATTATCATAAATATCCACTTGGCCAGAGGAGACAAACAGGGCACAGTTTTAATTTTATATTCATCTCGGTGCTCTTTACTGATACCATATTTTCCACATTAAACGAAGTTCTGGGAAGACACTCCAAATATTTTAATTTCAACACAAGGGGAAATGCCTGTTGTATTGTGGAGAATGTGATAAAACGTTAAATGAATGGATGATCACGTGGGAAAATGAGCATTTGTAGTGTTCATATATAATTTGCAAATTATGAGTCATTGGAATGTCCTCAAATCAAATAATTTGGAAATACATCCATACAAAAGTTAAACGTTCATTACATTAGTTCTATTTGCTTTAATGCAGGACACATTTCACATCATTAACATTAACATTATTTGCAAGATATAACTGCAGATCATGAAAATGTATCTCCTTGGTGTTGCGGAGAGGCACCGATCAAGGCAACTGTTCGGGTGATTGTTTGTGGTCGGGGTGCAGATTTTTTCTCTGATTCGTAGCCAATGATGACTTGCAGGGGTCCGTGGTGTGGTTCTGTGCATGTGTTGACGTGCAATGTCATTCCATACAACAGTGGAACCGTTAGGATGCGTTCTTTGATGTGTATTTTTGATGGTTGATTGAGTTGTTGCTGCTTTGTTATAATAAACCGATCTATGTCCACACTGTAATCGAAAAACTCATCATGCAGTGGAACAAAGGGTTATGGGTAATGTTCGCATCAATGTCATTCAGTGATGCACAATGATCGAAACCCATTCCAATAGGTAAAGGTGCAGCTCTGCAATTGTATCCTCAC